CAAACTTTGTAATATATCAATTTGTGATGATTTCCCTCCTCCCCTAGTTCTTTTGAGCTGCACTTGCTTAACAGTTAACCCCTTCTTCCACCCTCTGGGTCCACCCTCTCTTTGCGACTGTTACTTGGCTGTCTGAAGCAAGATAATTTGTTTGTAATGAGTTTCAACTTACTCTCTGAATACCAAAACTATCCTAGCTATAGTTAGGCACAATCAGTTTTCATTTCTGAGTCCATAATTGAAAAGTTGTTATTGATATCATTACCTCATACTGTCCCTCAACTGTCCCCAATTATATTTTGTCAAGTGTTTGTTTCTGAATTCTTCATTGCCTGTGTTACTTTCAGATTTGGTGCTGCTTGTAGCATGCCACCCCAACGCCGTCAGACCAGAGCATCTGTTGGCTCTACTACTACATTGGAGACAACCAGGCGGCCATCAAATGAAATCAATTCTCCTCGAACAAGATCTGGCAACAAGATCAACACCAAAACTCTTCCTTCTCCATCTCAGCTTAGAAAATCATCAAACGAGTCTCCCCTGAGAAGACGTGCATCAACACCCTCAAATGCATTGTCACCTGCCAAAAGTAATCTGTCAAAACCAAAGTCACCCTTGAAACAGATTGAGAAGATTACAGAGACCTTGCCAAAGAAGAAGCAGCAGAGTCAAGTAGTACCCACTGCATCTGTAGTGAAAAGCTCAAAGACATCACCTAAAAAACCTGTTTCAGTTCTGTCAGTGACTTCAGTCTCTTCAAAACCTCCAGCACAATGTAGGAGCACAAGAGGCAATTCTGTCTGCAGTTCTCCATTGACTGATGTTAAGAAAGTAGTAGGAAGGCCTTCTCGTACAAAATCCCCCATAAAATCTGCAACCAAGCCATTGTTGAAGTCTCCCTCACAATCTCTTTCTAAATCCCCTTCAAAATCCCCCTCAAAGTCCCCTTTGAAAAAATCTCCTTCTAAATCCTATTCTAAAGCCCCCTCTAAATCCCCCTCTAAATCCCCCTCTAAATCCCCCTCTAAATCCCCTTCGAAATATCGGGCCAAATCCCCATTGAAATCCACAGGAAAAATACCTACCAGAAGTCAAGTATCGCCAAGGAAAGCAACTGCAGCTCACAGTCCAGCCCGTCTTAATACCTCATCAAGAAAACGTCTTCTTGTGTCCCCTCCCAAGTCTCCTCCCAGTGCTAAAAGTAGACGGCTTAGATGGAGCATTTCGAGCCCTGTGCATGTTAACAACGAACCAGAGTCTGATGAAGGTTGTGTACCTCTTGACAAGATAAAGAAAGAGTCTGATGATGTTTCTGCTGGGAACTCCAGTTTTTCACACCAACCAGGGAAGCATTTTTCAGGCTCTGATACCTTGCCTGCTGGTCCAGAATTAACCGGACGTTTCCTCCGAAGGAAATGGTTTTCGTTAAAGGTACCATATATCTTTATTTCTGTTGGATCAGTCTTGTGTATGTTAAAATTTGAGATTTATCATTCTTGGTGTATTTCAATTTTCAATTTTTTGCAGACTCGAGGAGGATTTACTTGCTTACGCTCTGCAATTCTATCTCCTGAAGAAATTACCAAGGAAATCCTAAAGGCTACAATGGTTGAAACACCCAAAGTGGAAGATGCAAACTTTTTCTCTACCAAGCTTATGATGCGGCTCTCAAGCAGGTAGGATGGCTTTTGGTTTTCTCTTAAAATACTTCATGTGAATAATTTTTGATATGCAGTAATCCTTCACACATTATCAATGTTTGTTGTTTGCAGATTGCCTCCAACCCGAGCCCGTCCATCTTGTGAAGAACTGGTTGATCTGATCAACTCTAAACAGTCCGATAAAAAGTTTGATACCCTCACAGAACCAAAAGGAGAGGGTACTGCAATACGTGTGAAGTTAGAAAGTCGTTCATTTACTGATACAGTCTCACAAATAAATAGCAACCCTCGTAAAGTTGTGGAAAGTGCCCCTAGCACCAGTAAACCTGAGGTTGAGGGCAGTGTGGTTAATGACCAGGAAAGCAGCCTCACTAAAAAGCAAGAACGAGAAATTGCTTTATTACAATTAAAGAATCTAAGGTATTGGTGAAGGCTTCAGCATGAGTACCCTTGATTTCATATCTTAAAAATGGCTGGTGTGGTGTGTGGTCACATCCAAGCTTTGATTATTGCTACCATAATTTTATTTCAGATCAGAAGTGACTGTGTCAAAAGAAAAAGCAGGAAATTGTCCCATTAAAAAGAAGGAGCGTGAGATTGCTTTGTCACAGTTAGCAAATTTAAGGTACAAGTAACCTGTAAAATATATTCAAGTACAAAATATTCTGACATGCTTGCGTAATTTACAAGGTGGATAAAGTTACCTAGGAATAGTTTAAAATTTAGTTATAAGAGACATCACCTGTGAGTTAAAAAATGTTGTATGTTGAGTTTTCATTCTTCAAAATTTAAAACTTGAACTTAAGCAGTCCATCCATATAGTTTATAGTTTATCATATTAGGTAAAAAATAGAAATTGTGGAAATTCCTTAATTTTGCTTTAAGTTCAGGGGTTTTCAAATACATCTCAATTTTTTTTTCTCTAGATTTTAGAGTAGGACAGATATTTAATGGGGAACGTCTAGAAGGACCCCTCACCGGAA